CTTATTACGTTACTTTGGTTCGTAGTAAGACGATAGGTCGTAATATTAATTAGTTAAACGTAAGTAGACATAGCAACTACGACACTACTATATCTATATATATATATATATATATATATATATATATATATATACATGGTCAGATGTACACACTTGCATTTAAGAATATTTATTTAATATTATTAAGCACATAATCATGCATGCTCATAGTTATACAGAGACATGTGCATGCACTAATTCATGCCTATTAGTGCTTAATTTTGGGGAAAATACCTTCCATGACAATGTACTATATAAGATGCGACTGTTTGATCTAATTGAACAAATATTGCTGATAAGAAGCTTGAGAGCCTCACCTATGACGGTGTACTATGAGATGCGACCATTTGATCTAATTGAACAATTGATGCTGATAAGAAGCATGAGAGCCAAACCGCTATCGGTTCAAGTAGCATTAGTTGTTTCAAGGGAGATGTACCAATTGGAATGATAGGCATCTAGATCTCTACGGGTGTTTTTACCCTTGCTTTTGAATTGGCTAAGCATTATGATAAGTGGCTTTTGTACCTCAATGAAGGTGTGCCCCTAAATCAGATGAAGCTAACTTGCTTGCCCTCACTCCCAAGCCTTCATTCTTTAGGGAAGAATGTGACCTGTTGGCTAAAAACTCTGGTTCTCGCTGTGCTAGTGAAGGAAAAGGAATGTTTGCTCCGAATGCTTAGTTCACTAAGCAAAGCTAGCTCCCTAGCCTGGCATGTAAGCTTCATGCATGTGATCTTCCTCATCGACTTTTCTTCCTCCTACAGGACCTTATGTTTCGGAATGGAGACTTGTTCATCCTATACAATATTGGCTGAGGCCATGAATGGGACATAGGAATTGATTGATGCTTCAGTGAGAAGCACTTGCCAAGTGGCACTATGATTAGTGCCGATCAGTGGAAAAGGAAGGACCGTGCCACTCAGGATTATAGAGCATGTTTCACTTAGATAGAGGAGCTAAGCAAACTTAGTAAGGAAGCAAAGCATTAAGAAGTATCCACTTTGCTTTGGTAGAGATGGATAACTTACTTTGATAAAAAAGATAAATAGCTTCACAAGGTTGCTTCCCTCAGTTATGTTGATTTGTCAATTAGCTTGGGTTTTAGAGGACTAGAGTAATGAAGAAGAATGGCAGAGAAAGAATGACAGAGAAATTAGGGCATGTCATGAGTCTCAATATGGGTTTGTAGCAGGTCAATTAGTCCCAGTTCCAATATTAGAGGAAGAATGACAGAGAAATTAGGGCATACCATGGGTTCTAGAAGAGTCAACATGTGTACATGAAAGCAGGTGGGAGTAGAGCAAATGGATGGAGCTGGGATAACTTTAGGAACTTCTTGAAACATGTATAGAGAGAGAGTAAAATGGGTTAGCCCTACTCGACAAGGGAGAGTCACCAAAGGACTGAGTCACTTTAGTTGCTTATGCTCATAGAGCTATGGAATATGTCTTGACTCTTGAGTCATGACCTAGGAAATAGGAAGACTTAGCTCTTGAGTGTTGAGGAGAGGGAAGAAGCCAACGCTTGGATATGCTCATAGGGCTACATAAGAAACTTGCATTATGATGATCCCTCTAGAAGTTTAGATACTTCGGTAAAGTGAGATGGATCCAACTTTCTATAACAAGGCTGGCTATTTGCTGTGGTACGTTGGTGCAAAGCTGCTTATCCTCAACTTGGAAAGCTAAATGCTGTAAGTCACCTAAGCTACAAGATAGCTTGAGCTCATAGAGCTACAAATAGAACTCGATGTCCATGCATATCATTTGAGGTTGAAATGCAGCCAGAAAGAAACCAGGACAAGGAAAGAACTTATTATCATGTGCGTTGTGTGTTCCTTGCATAATAACAAGTTTTTGGAAGGCCAGTCTGGCGATCGCCTTTGTAGATCTGAAACTTTATAAGTACTTCCATTTCACGTGCACTACATAGCACATATTGATTATTTGGGCTGTTAAATAGGTTGCATAAAAGATGGTGCTCATTTACGTGTTGGTGCATGTGTTTCTTGTGCTTCTACTTCAGAGGGCTGAACCCCATTCATCACAGAATAGTGATTACACTACCCTGAACAAAGGCCTTGGCCTGTTGCGAAGCTATCTAACTGCATTGGAGAGGTACTGAATTCCTACCGAACACATGATAGTCACAAAGCCACTTGATTCCAAAGAAGTGGTACCAAAGCTCATGACAACAGGATAAGGCTTTAGGACTTGATTGAACTGGAGAACTACTAATGAAATACGTAGGGACGGTCATAGTCAACCTTCGATAGTTTCTAATCTCTCTTTGTATATGTTAAACCATAGTGTCTGTGGGACACGATTGTAAAACACATGCCATTTCTTTATGCAGTCTATGCCACAAGATGGATTGATAGTAGGATGCGATGGGGAGACA